GGCCCCGCCCCACCCGAGGCCACACCCCAGTAGAGGCCACGCCCCGAGAGCGGTCCCAGCGCAGGTGCAGCCTCTGGCCCGGGCTCCTGCGGACACACCCCGCCATGGCCGCCCCGTCCCTGACGCCAGTGGGCACACCCTACCTGTGCAGGCGGTGGCTGGCGCTGAAGGAGACCAGGCGGGACACCCGCGCCCGGCGGCGACTCGGGCCCACCGCGTCCATTGTCTCCAGGCCGCGCGCGGATGATCAGCCCTGCTCCCCCCCCCCAGCTCCCGCGCTCCCGCTTGGCGCCGGTGGGCGGGGCCTCCCCGCGGCTGCGCAGTGAGGGCTCGCGCCTGAAGCTCGCGAGTCGTCTCGCGGTCTGGGTGCGCGGACCTTGGACCTGTGGGTGTGGACGTTGGTTCTGGGGTCCGAGGCCCGAGGGGCACCTGCCGTGTCCTCGAGGGGTGCTTTTGAGCTTCCTTCCTGCCCAAGCCTTGGGCTCGAGCCCTGGGGGCCACTGTCAGAGCGCAGTCTCCTAGCCGGCTCTGCGGGCTCCTGCCTGGCGTCCCAGCCACGCTGCAGGCTGAGATCCTGAGGATCGCGGTTCTAGGCCCCCCGAAGGAGGTCCCAACCATTAGCTCGGGAGCGTGCATCTGTCATCCCAGCACTCTGGAGCTGGAGAGGAGAGGATCTGGAGTTGGAAAGCTACCTGAGGAGACCCTGTCTCACAAACACCACCCCTGGGATTTGAGGCCACCTGCAGGACCACGTGCTCTGCGGACTGTTGGATGACAACTCCGCCCAAGAAAAATGCTTCCGTCCTCCGCACTGCCCCCCAGCAGGCGCGAGCCCATTGATCGGGCAGAACAGGAACAGCACAGACACCCTCTGACGGGCATCCTAGCAAATCACGCCTGGGAGCGCCAGGACGGTGCTTGCCAGGATGTCCAGAGTTCCCAGCACCGGCCAGCAGGGGCCTCTCTGGGTGTTGGAGGCACCGGCTCGGGCTGGCGCTGTGCAAAGTACAGGCCCGAGGGTAGCTGAGCGTTTGTAGATGAGAACAGTCCAATGCAATAGCAGGTGATACGTGGCAGGCCACCGAGGTGAGGCCCACTGGGATTTCCAAGCGAGCTACCTCTGTGTTTGTTCTGGCATTAAAATGTTGAATGTTCTGTTACACCATTCTTCACATATTTTCAACTGTGTGTCTAACTCCCACCCGCCTTGGGCTATAAAAGACCTCCAAGAACAAAGAACTTGGAGAGATTTTTGAGATAAAGCCTATCTCATACAACACCTCCATTTACAGATAAGAAGCCCAGGCCGAGATAAGAGTGAATCACTCAGCCATGATCGGTCTGAATATTAACCATGTTTCCCAAATATTGACTACACTGGAGATAAAAACACTCTAAATGTCAATGGTTAACTGAACACTCTAGAAACAGTGTAAAATACTCACCCACCTGGGGGAAGAAAGAATTTCTGAGCGATTGCTTCAGTTTGGCTATTTAGTAAGATGTTTCATTGTGGTTGCAGAATGCTTGCTCTGGATTATTTTAGGAAGGGTACGTCTGCACAAGGATATTCACAAATTCAGCCCCAATACATATTGAATTTTGCCCTGTCCTAAATTCAAAAGTTGATATCCAAACTGTTGAATATAACTTTATTTGGAAAGAGACAGGCGTAATTACTTGGGGTGTGGTCATTTGGGTGCATCCTAATCCAATGTGATCAATAGAGTGTCCTCATTAAAAATAAAAAAAAAAGCTGGGCACGGTGGTGCATAGCTATAATCCCAGCTATTTGGAAGGCTGAGGCAGGAAGATTGCTTGAGTCTAGGAATTCAAAGCCAGCCTGGGAAACATAGCAAGACCTTATCAAAATAAAACCTTTTGACACAGCAACAGACAAGTATATGGCAAAGGAATGCCATCCGAAGACGTAGAGACAAAGGCCAAGAAGGCCTGAAAACAGATCTGTCCTCAGCACCCTCCAAAGGAACAAACCCCGTTTCCAACATCTAGCTTTCAGTGCTGAGATCAAAAGCCATTTAGGTATATCCCCCCTCCCCCATACCACTTCATCCATTCAGCATACACTGGCTTTGTGCTTGGCTCCGTTGTCTCCTGAGGTTAGCTTCTATTAAGAAGTCCCCATATGGGCTGGGAATGTGGCTTAGAGGTAGAGTGCTTGCCTAGCATGCACAAAGCCTAGGGTTCTATTCCTCAGTACCACATAAAAAAAAATTGCCAGAAGTGGCCGTGTGGCTCAAGTGGTAGAGTACTTGAGCAAAAGCAGCTCAGGGACAGTGCCCAGGCCTTGAGTTCAAGCCCTAGGACAGGCCAAAAAAAAAAAAAAGTCCCAGTGAAAAGCCAAGTGCTGGAATTCATGTCTATAATCACAGCTTGGGAGCTTGAGTTTGAGGCTAGTTTGCTGTCTCAAAGAACATGGAACACCAGACGGTATTTAAATGTGTACATATTAGCAAAATTACTCACTGTGAAGTCAATGTTTACTTAGCGCCTAGATGGCTGTGGTGCAGGTGTCAGTGGCATAGCAGTGAATCACATGTTTGTGACTAGAGTTCAACAGAACTAATGTAATGAATCCAAAAACACCTAAGTCTGCCCTCTGACAGCAAAGGAAGACCTCCAGAAAGAAGACAAGCATGGAGTTCTTCTCCAGCTGTGGAAGCAGAGATGTTCTCCAGATGTGGAGGTAGAGGATTCCAGAGGACTGTAAGCAAAGGAAATGTGGAGGGGTGCCGTCCACATTGGCATGTTCTTGGCTACCCAGAAGCAGGATGTCTTCGTGCTAGAAACACTGTTCCAACACCAAATTTTCAAGGGTTGCAAATGTCACTCCAAGAGTACAGGAAAGGAGGTCCCACCCTTGGGTCTCCGACCTGGGCCCTCACATTTCAAGGCACAAACCAGCGTTGTTGACTCAGGGAAGATCCCAAGGTGTGACCATCCCAAAGATGACAGTGTGGCTTACAGTTAGGATTTGTCCGGAAGCAATGTTCATCCCACAAACCCGAGTGCAAACTCCCCAGAGGCTCAGGCAGCCCTGGCCGTGTCACCCACGGTCCATCGGGCCTCTTGCTTACCTCTGATATGGCAACCTAGAGCTGGCCAACTCCTTCCTCTTCCCTCGCTTGGTGCCCCATGTCCTCCCTTTCTTTGAGTCTCTTGACATTGGCCAGTAATAACAATTGGGCTTAGGAAGAAAATAAAGACCCTGGAGCCATGGTTATATGCTTACTCCATCTTGCAAAATTTTAGCTGGGAGCTGGTGGTTCACACTTATAACCCTAACTACTCAGGAAGTGGAGATCTGAGGATCATGGATCAAAGCCAGCCCCAGCAGGAAAGTCCATGAAACTCTTTTTTTTTGGGGGGGGGGGAGGGGTCAGTCATGGGACTTGAACTCTGGGCCTGGGTGCTGTCCCTTAGCTCTTCAACTCAAGGTTAGTGCTCTAGCACTTGAGCCACAGTGCTACTTCTGGTTTTCTAGTGGTTTATTGTGCATAAGAGTCTCACAGACTTTCCTGGCCAGGCTGGCTTTGAACCACGATCCTCAGATCTCAGCCTCCTGAGTAGCTAGGATTACAGGTGTGAGCCACCCGTGCATGGCTCCATGAGACCCTTATCTCCAATTATAACCACCAGAAAACCAGATGTGGCACTGTGATTCAAAGCAGCAGCTTTGAACAAAAGAACTTAGGGATGGCACCCAGGCTTCACAATGGGCAAAAAAAAACTCTTAAAAATATTTCTGTATTTGATTACTAGACACTGTGCCTAGACCATAAATGCTATTGAGCCTCCTGGGCTGTGTGTGTCTGTGTATGTGTGCATTCTTTAAGAACCTTACAGAGGGCCTGGGATCAAGCCATATAATTAATCCAGCTACCTGCTGCACATTTGAACTTCATTCCCTGTGTATGTATGGAGTAAAGGTTTACAGACAGGCAAAAGAAGCCATCAGACCTCTCTGCTTCCCAGAGGCCAGAGTTTCCTAACAAGCATCCATGTTTTGCCTATAAGGAATGTCTTTTGGAGAATGGTTCATCTCAGCCTCTGAGCCCCCAGCTCTGCTATGTTCCTGCTGTCCAGTTCTTCCTGCTATTGTGTACCTCTGTCCAGTTGTTCATGTCACAAACCCAGTACTTCTGCTTTACTGCCACTGTGCAAACCTCCATCCATACATTTATGGGTGAACACTTCACTGCGGAGCCTAGAGGGCTTGTGGAGCCTGAAATAACTCCGAAGGAAAATTAAAGAGGAAACTAGTAGTCTACGCCTGTGTGGAGAAATCTACCCATGATTCAAACTGCATATTTGGGGGGACTTCAGCAACAATCGGCAGGCAGAAGCCTGAATTGCTTAACTGATCTAAGATGGGAGATGAGCCCTAGCTCAGTGCTGTTTAGTAAAACCTGGTGAGGAGTAGAACATGGAGATTATATGGTCTCTAGCGCCACCTGTTGTCCACCTAGGTGAAGAACTGCTGGCTTCCACCAGCCCCTAGAGAACTAGACACAGAGGTTAAGAGACCTGCCTGATTTCAGTGACCTCCAAAGGAAGGCTGAACTGGAGGACAGAGGGGGATGGCCGCCCGTGCTCTGCAGCAAGGTACAGCAGATAAAATAGCATCTGCCATGGATAACTGAGAAACAGCCAGCACTGAGGAGGCCACTAAGCAGGGCAGAGCTGGCTTCCAGCCCTCTGAGCAGTTTAGGGCCCATGGTAGCAGGAAGTACACAATGTTTCAGATCTAGACTCTAAGCCCATTATCCATGATTATTTCTATTCTTCCACATTGTTGATTTTCTGATGATTATAAACAGTCATCCTCAGCCGGGCACTGGTGGCTCATGCCTGTAATCCTAGCTCCACAGGAGACTGGAGTATGATCTTGACTCAAAACCAACTCAGGCAGGAAGGTCCATGAGACTCTTATCTCCAATGAACCACCAGAAAACTAGAAGTGGAGCTGTGGCTCAAGTGGTAGAGCGCTAGCCTGAAGCACAAAATTTGCAGGGGACAGCACCCAGGCCCTGAGGTCAAGCCCCACAATTGACAAAAAAAAGGAAAGAAAAAAAAAGGCCATCCTCTTTTCCCACCCACCTCTCTTCCTCTTCCTTTCCCTCTCCCTCTTTTCCTCCTTCCCTAACTGCGGATCGAGCATAGTGCCTCACCGTGACTCCTGTCCTTTGACGTTTTTTTCAGATCGGGTCTTGCACGAACTTTGCCTGCAATTCTCTGACCTCTACCTCTCAAGTAGCTGGGATTAGAGGTGGCTTCTCTCTTACTTTTATCTAAAGTAAAACAATTCTACAGGGGCTGGGAAGGTGGCTCAGTGATAGAGTGCTTGCCTTGCATGCATGAGGCCCTGGGTTGGATTCCTCAGCACCACATAAGCAGAAAAAAAAAGCCGGAAGTGGCGCTATGGCTCAAGTGGTAGAGCCTTGAGCTGAAGAGCTGAGGGACAGTGCCCAGAGTTCAGGCCCATGACCGGACCCCCCCCCCAAAAAAAAAAACAAATCTACAATAAATCTACCTTTTAAACTCTCTTTAAAATATTCTGTCAGCACTTAATGATTTTAAGAAAATATACAACCACAATTATCTCACAAATTATACTTTAATCAAAATTTTAAAACCAGTGTTCAGTGGTTTAGGAGGGAGGGTGTCTTCTATAGGGAGAATCTCGGGTAAGTCTAGTCCCCAGACCCGGTGGCTGCTCCATCAGATGGGTACAAATGTTCCGTGGAACCCATAAGGTATTGGCACAGGTACTTCTGCTCGGCCTAATTCTTCAAAATTCTTGGCATCCAAGACAAGAAGAAAATTGCTCTTATTCTAGGGAGGAAAAAGCAGTACTGAAAATTCCCCTTTTCTCATTAAAAAAAAAATGTATCTTCACTGGCTATGGAGTTCCTAATGAAGGGACCATGTTGGACTTTTTGTTGTTGTTGTCGGTCATGGGGCTTGAACTCTGGGCCTGGGCCGCTGTCCCTCAGCTCTTCAGCTCAAGGCGAGCGCTCTACCACTTGAGCTACAGTGCCACTTCCGGTTTTCTGGTGGGTTACTGGAGATAAGAGTTTCACGGACTTTCCTGCCCAGGCTGGCTTTGAACCATGATCCTCAGATCTCAGCCTCCTGAGTAGCTAGGATTACAGGCATGAGCCACCGGCGCCCAGTGGACTTATTTTTTTAATCTATCCTCGGGACCATCCCTCTACCCATTGGCTCAATTGCTGAACTGTACTAACCAGGAAATCATGGCTGAAGTTTAGTAATAAAGCAAAGGAAAAAATTGTTCATCCCAATAACTTTCCTAGGCTCTATTTGAGTTTTCTTTCCTATGAGACAAGGAGATTCTTTCTTCATGTTAGGAATGTTTCCACTTGTTACTTCAGAGCTACCTACATGGCAGCATTTCAAAGTAGACTGGGATTTGCCATGACCAAACAGCAGGAATGCTGAATGCATGACACCAGGATTGAGCCCATGTCAGACATCACTAATCGACCACAGCATCTTCTCCGTCAAACCATTAAAAGCCCTCAGAATCCTACACCACAGGCAGCCACTAAATTGATCAAAGCTGGCACCTGACATGAACCTATTTGCCATAGATTGCTGCAGACAAGCAGTCAGTTAGCGACTAACATTATTGAGATGCCAAGCCTGGGCTTATAATATTGGACTTGGAAGTCCGGTAAGCTGAAACTGGAAACACAGGTGGTGGTATGAGCATTAGACAACAAGCCAGAAGATTTCAACACTGCTGTACCATGAAGGAATGTCATGTCCCTTGCAACCTCTTCAAATTACCAATTCTATATCTGTAGAATGCTATCTCATCAAATTGTCTTCATGACTGAGATTAATATGAAAATACTTAGTAAATAACAAATTCCTGTGCAGCGGTAAATTGTTAAATGATGCTACAAGTGAGCTTCAAAACAATCACCAAGTATGGGTTGTGATTTCAAAGGGTAGGTAACAGTAAAGAAGGAAAGAGAAGGAGAAGATAGCATAAAGACATCAAAATAAACTATGGGTGGCATCACTGAATGTCACCCTCAAATGACTTAGTGCTACATATTTTTGATTTGTGACAGGGTGATACATTTACCTGGTTGGGAGTCACTACCACAGAAAGAATAACTCCACCATCTTCTTCTCCAGATCCTGGTACTGGTACAAACACCGGTTCTGAAGGATAAAAGCCATCTTCTCGCCAAACCTACCCCCCAAAAAAAGCATTTGATTGGGAAGTTTTCTGTAGTCTTGTGTTACACCCTGTATAAATTTATTTGGTCTTCAACAGAATATTCCAGAAGTTGGGAAAAAAAAGGACACTTTGGCTGGGATGTAGCTCAGTGACAAAGCACTTGCCTAGCAAGTGCAACGTCCTGGGTTCAATCCCCAGGACCAAAAAAGAAAAGAAAAAAAATACAATAAAAAAATAACCCAAACCAAAAAAAAAAATGAAGCTTGCTAAATTGGCTATGAGGGAGGAGCCTTTTGCAACCCCTAGATTCTATCACCATCAAAGATAACTTACGCAATTATAATTTCCATCAACCTGAAAATACAGGTGTCCCAACCACCTTAACCCTGCAGTTCTCCTAAAAGAGCATCAAACTTAGGGTTTATTTTCCTGGGCTTGGATTTTTCTTTAGATTCTCTAGAGAAAAACATATCCCTAAATTAAGTGATTCTATGGTTCTCCAACTTAGGAAAGTGGTTGAGCAGTTTAAATATTAAAGACTCTGAAGCACTAGCTTAAATAAAACTGAAGCAAAGTCAAATGGCAGAAGAGATCTTTGGAAACTGAAAAAAGGAAAGGAGTTTTCCTTACCTTCAAAGTCTTTTCCACCACATCAACCTTGATCAAAGAATCCCCCACCAAATGCCGAAAGCCACAGCCATAGAAGAAACGATACTTTTTGCCATTGAATTGGCTATAGTTGATCTGAGGAAATTCAATTCCCCCTTCCAACTCTAGATCCTCATGATGTAGATCTTCGTGACAGCACCAGATCTAAAATTGATTTGAAGTGGTTACACAATTCTCCTCTTCAGAGTAGGTCAGTAAAGGGGACTAATACTCAGTTTATGGCAGGGGTTGGACACTAAGGTTCTATAACACTTTTTTACTTTTTATCAGTCATGGGGCTTGAACTCAGGGCCTACCTGCTACCCCTGAGCTCTTTTGCGTAAGGCCAGTGCTCTGCCACTTTAAGCCACAGCTCCACTTCTGTTTTTCTGATGCTTCATCGGAGATAAAAGTCTCATGGACTGGGCTGGCTTTGAACTGGGCTCCTCAGAGCCCAGAGAGTAGCTAGGATTACAGGCCTGTGCCACCAGCACCCAACCCTCAGGAGTCTGAAGTTCATCTGTTATCAGGTTTTGTATGTAAGTTGTGAGATGCCAGAGGAGGTGGAAGTGCTTCATTATTCTGCTAAAGATAACTCATAGATAGGTAAAATGTTGAGGTAAGGGTAACTTATCTAGAAGGTGGGGTTGGTCTCTGCCAATCTCACGCTCTTAGACTGCTCACCACGAGGAAGTTGCCCCTGTTTTGAGACTCTGAAGGCAGCGTCCATGCTGAGTACGTTCCTAGCCAAGTTTCTGTGATTCTTGTACAAACAAGGTTCCCTGACCTCACCCTCCTTCTCAATTGCATGTTACGAAACCCATGGGTCGAGAAAGCTTGGGAAAACAGCCAAGTAACACACAACTGGAGTTCAAAGTTTTAATCAGTCTAATGTCCATTGGCAACATACCTTTCCATCACGCTGCTTCACAGCACTGGCTGACGAATAGGAGAGGGGATTGAGGTTCTGTCCATCTGGGACATTCTTGTTGATGTCAAGGGGCAAGACAAACCTTCGGGGGAAAGATCTGGCTACTGAGCTGTACACCTACACAGGAGAGAAATAAACAGGTGGAAAAAAAAATACCATTCAAAGCCCATCCTAGTCATTTCAACTCTGTCAACATCACTGGCATACCTAAGCTAATTATATAAATGATCATTGCTGTTCATCCACGCAACACATATTTGTTGATCACCTACTACAAGGTGGGAGACAATGTGGATACAGCAACGAGCAAAGCAGTGTTTGGCCTCATGGAACTAGTAGTGGAATAATGAGAAATCCAAAACTTAGATTTCTTTTTATATTACTTAATTTGCATCACACAAACAAATGACTAGATAGTCAAAGGTCTGAGGGACTAGAAAGTAACAAGGGATGCTCACTTTTTGAGACTTGATCCAGGCAAAATTCTATGAAGCAATAGATGAATCTAGCAGGCCCAGATTGCTCTAACATTGCCCACTATTGAGAAAAAGCTTGTTTTCAGCACTCAGCCGTGGCTGGCTCCTGGGAACTGAATTTTGGGGACACTTTTATCACGTGGTACTGGAGAGTCCACAGAGTTTATGAACACCTGAACTCCCCTGGGTGGAGGTCTGCAGCTTTGGTAGGATTAGTCATGAAGGGAGGACTGCATGTTTTCACTATTGATTCCTAATACAAACTTGGCCTCGCCAGGCTGGGGTGAGCATTCCAGACAGATAATATTGCATACACGTTACTATGACAAGCTCCTAGAGGAATTAAGTATGCTCTGTGGGATTCCACTGGGAGCTGACTGTTACAAGTTTGTGCACCTTTTCTTTTCTCACTTTGCTTTGGATCTTTGTGTTTGCTCAATCAGAGCGCGAATGTAACAGTAAGCTGAGCCTGGTGAGTTCTCCTTGTGAATCACTGAGGTTGAGACTTAATCCCAGCAACTCTTTTCTACTGAAATGATGTATACATGGAAGAGTCAGAGAAAATAACAGGATTTTCTATTCATGGGGCTGCGATCCAAGGATCAAGGGCAAACTCAGCAGACAAAGCCATAAAACTTTGATCTCTATTTAACCAGCAAAAAAAAAAAAAGAGCCCAAACTGAAGCATAGCCCAAATGGTAGAGCATCAGCCATAAGTGGGTTCCAGCTGTAGTACTGACACAAAAAAATAAACCAATATAAATAAAAATTTAAAAAATAAAAATCATAGCTGACAAAACTACTGATAGATCCAATTTACATTTTGTAATACAAGGGAAAATGTTACCTCAGATTCAGTGTTGGGAAGAACTGATCCCCTTCAGTTACATGAGCTGATACACTGGGAATGTTATTTTTCTATCCCTTCCAGGAAACTTAAATATGTTTAGTGCTTTCGTGTAACGTAAAATGAATTATAACTGCTTCCTACTGCATACAAAGGCTGCCTTTTTACCCTGCTTTTTATTTATTAGGTATTAGTCTACTTCAGATTACATTAATAAATGATAAATCTATTTCTTTAAAACTACTCCACCTCCTTTTTGCCACAAGGGAACAAGATAAACTGGAAATTCCCAAGCCAAAGCCCGATCTTGTCTATTCAAAATCACCCTAATAATACCTGATAAATCACAGATGTTTACCTGATCGAGCCCTTCACCTGCTTTCCGGAGATTCTGTAGTTGATAGACATCCAGAACTTTTCCATCATCTTGACAACACATATCGATCACAACACAACCTTTGTCCTCAAAGGCATTGATTTGATGAAAAGTAATGAAAGATTTGCTGTAGTACCTCCCTGGAAGAGGCTGGAAGGGAATACAAAAACAAGTTCTAAGAGATTTCTTTTCCTAATTTTTCATTTGTTTTGTTTTTTGTTTTGGGTGATTTTTTTTTTTTGAGAAGGAAGTCCTGAGATTTGAACTCAAATTCTTCCCATTGCTAGGAAGGCACATCCCTATTTTGAATTTTCCTCATTACACGACACATTTAAAAGATGTTTTAAAAAAAAAAAAAAGGTGGAGGCTGGGAATGTGGCTTAGTGGTAGAGTGCTTGCCTAGCATGCATGAAGCCTTGGGTTCGATTCCTCAGTACCACATAAACAGAAAATAAATGAAAGAAATAAAAGGTAGGAGAAAAAATTATTTTAAAAAAAGGTGGACTAGAATATAGAAACAAATCTGTTTGATTCATAAACATTGCCTACTAAGTCAACATATTAATCAATGAACTGAGACTATTTGATATAGAGCAATCAACTGCTCCAAAACTTTAAAAACTTCTCATTAAATGTAGCCTAACATTTTAAAGGATAAAAGATCCTCGACTCTAAGTGCAAGGTCAAATAGAAAACATTACTATTTAGTATAGGTAAGATAAATGAAGTGACTGATCTTTGAAAAACATACTTTATTAATTCTATACTTTATATATTCTAAAATTTTCATCATGATATTTGGGAAGAGTAAATTTAGAATATTATGTACTTACAGAGATAAAATATAAACAAATAAACATAACAGCACTAGTTTTAATCGAGAATATAAAAAATATTCAACCAAGCCAAGCATTGGTGGCTCTCGCTTATAATCCTATCTACTCAGGAGGCTGAGATCTGTGGATCATGGTTCAAAGCCAGCTGGGGCAGAAAATCACTGTGAGACTCTCATCTCCAATTAATCACTCAAAAACCGGAAGTGGAGCTGTTCAAAGTGGTAGAGAACTAATCTTTGAGCAAAAGAGCTCAGGGACAGTGCCCAGGCTCTGAGTTCAAACCCTACAACCAACAAAAAAGAAAAAAAAAAACTCCAACCAACAGGCTTGAACTTTGATGGGATGATCATAATGATCTATCCAGAAGTCACAAAAGAAACTAAAATGTCATTACAAAAGTTTTAGAGCTCTACAGAAACTGCACCCACCTTTACATCTATTATGATATGCAAAACCCATGCCAAGAGAGTTTCTTAGATGCCAATCTAATTGAATCAGATAACTAAAAGAATACAAGCATTTCCTATAATTTTCCAAGTATGCAAAACCCACTATACTAATTAATGAGTAGGTAGCCTAGCCAACAGAAGATCAAAATATCCTTATTTAGGAGGGTCTTAAAAATAACTACTGATGAAGGTTTAAAAAAAAATCAATCCTATAGAAATTCACCTTTGAGACCAAAAAAAGAAATTATCAAGTACATTCAAAATACTCTACCTGCCCAGTGTGTTTATCCACAATGTGAAACCGTGTGTTTTGCTGGGGTTCCCAACTTATCCCATCGGAAAAAGGCTTTCCCCAAATTTTAGAAGTGGCAATTTTCCACAGATTCATCTTTAGAGGCTGTTCGATGAAGATTATGTAGTTCCTTGTCATTCCTACAATATTCCAGGAAACAATCACATGTTATTTAGCAAACTGGTGTGGTCAGAATGTGACCATTTCAAGGTTCTTTCTGAATGCCAACCGAAGTAGTAACTGGCCCAAAGTACTTCACTGTGCACTAGCCCTGCTGTATGTGTTTCTTGTTCCTATGGAACAAAACGGGAACTGCTAAAAATAGTGCAACGTCCTCACTAACTTCTGTATCTTTTGTTTCTTTTCAAATTATTTGTGTTTAGGAACAAAGAAGTATAATGTTAAAGTATTGTTTATGTTTTATGTGTCTATTCCTCAAGTCCCTTCCTATTTAATATGGGAGACTGACTTCTTGATAAGTCATTATGATCATCCCACTCAGAAGTAATTTGGCAATAACAATTTACAATAGAAGAAGTAAAAAAAAAATCTGGGTCAGAGCTGAAACCATTACAATTTCCCTCCCAAAATATAATCAGGACCTTCTCATGTATGAATATTATTTGTAGTCTTTAAAGTAGCCTAATTTTTTTTGTCAGTCATGGGGCTTGAACTCTGGGCCTGAGTGCTGTCCCTCAGCTCTTCAGCTCAAGGCTAGCGCTCTACCACTAGAGCCACAGCACCACTTCTGGTTTTCTGGTGGTTAATTGAAGACAAGCATTTCATGGCCTTTCCTGCCCAGGCTGTCTTTGAACCACAGTCCTCAGATCTCAGCCTCCTGAGTAGCTAGGATTATAGAGCCACCAGCACCCAGTTTAGCCTAAAATTTTGAATTGTCACTCAAATTTTTATTAATTGCTTATTTAAAGCAATTCTATCTCTTTAGGCATCTAAGCTAGTAAGAAGTACATGATGGGGCTGGGAATGTAGCTTAGTAGTAGAGTGCTTGCATAGCATGCATAAAGCCCTGGGTTCAATTCTTCAGCCACATAAACAGAAAGGCAGAACTGGCACTGTGGTTCAAGTGGTAGAGTGCTAGCCTTGAGCAAAAGAAGTTCAAGGACAGTGCCCAGGCCCTCAGTTCAAGCCCCACGACTGGCAAAAAAAAAAAAAAAGTACATGATGAAACAGAATAAATTTAACTGACATTAAAATGCAAGCCTGGTCTCATTATCACCATACTCTGGCACATTACCAGCATAGAACTTGATAAGACAAGCCCCTCCCATAAAAGTACATTAAGGCATTAAGCCAAGGCCCAATTCGCTGTGTCTTATCTCCAGGCTCACCAAAGCTGTGGTAGTAGGATGGCTTCATGGCTTGTGTAGGAGCAATAGAGCATATCACCTGAGCACCGTGAATTGTCTCTTCTGGGTTGCTCTTCTCTGGGGGAACCCGAATAACATTATAGCAGGAACCTGAAAACAGATTTTTTTTATTGTTTTACATACAGAGTAAAAGATAAACTGCCTTTGTCAAAGACTTGGCATATTTGTAAGCACAGCTATGGATAGATTAACAAATAGCATGGTTATGTAGCCACTGGACAAATGATTAGTTAGAATGATACTGAATTATCATGTTGGTGTTAGAATTACCAGTGTAGGTCATGACAAATTTGGATAACGTGGAATTTTGTAGTCTCCAATCTCCCAATCTCCCTCTCTCCCTTCTTTCCTTTCTCCTTTCCTTCCTCCTTCTTCCTTTCTTCCTTTCTTTCCTTCCTTGAAAGAGGGTCTTGAACTTTTAATCCTCCTGCCTCAGTTTCCCAACTGCTGGGATTACAGGTATGCATCACCATTCCCAGTTCCAATCTTTTTTGAACAAGGAAATAAAGAAATTTTCAATTTGCTCATTCTGCAACAACTTGTTGAGTATATTCCAAACATTACCCTAAAGGATTCTAAATGCTATACTCTAGGTACTCTATATGGCACTGTGTGGAAAAAAAATCTGGTCTTTTATAAGGCTTAAATCCTAATAAATCATATACTAAAAATGCAATGCATCAGATGATAATAAGTCTAATGGAAAAGAAGCCAGAGAATGGGGCTCTATAGTGATTGGAAAAGGTTGGGAGCCACTATTTGGGTTTTTAAATATGGTAGTCTGGGAAGTCTTCACTAAGTAGATGATGTTGAGGTAAAGACCTGGGGGAGATGAGGAATAGAGCCTTAAAGACACTTGGAGGAACGCCTTCAAGGCAAAGGGAATCAGAACTACAGAGGTTCTTAGACAGGACCCGTGTTAACCAATTTGGAAGGCTCAAATACCAGCAAGGAAACCAGTTCATAACATGTAAGGAGAGGACAAGATCTGAGCCAGAGATGGATGCAAGTGCAAACAACTAATCTAGATGCTACATTGAGTAAATGCTGCATGGGGCAGTGGAAGTAGCAATGAAATAGTTGAGAGGTAAGAGTTCAGTAACAGAGGGCTCAAAATAAAGTGGTGAGGGCTGGGAAGGTGGCTCAGTGGCAGAGTGCTTGCCTTGGATGCATGAGGCCCTGGGTTCAATTCTCAGCACCACATAAACAGAAAAAGCAGGACGTAGTGCTATGGCTTCAGTGGTAGAGCGCTAGCCTTGAGCTGAAGAGCTGAGGGACAGGGCCCAGGCCCAGAGTTCAGGCCCCACGACCAACAACAACAAAAAAAAATAGAATGGCAAAGAAGTGGAGATGTGGTTAACTGTAGAGTGAAAAAAAGCTAAGCGATAGTACCCAGTCCCTGAGTTCAAACCCTAGCACCTGGCACAAAACAAACAAACAAAACATCATATTTTCTATGGTGGTAAAAGAGCACTGAATGCCAAACAGATTAATATGAAGACTTGTCTTAAATAAACATTAAAAACTAGTTGGGCTGATTAATGTTTAAAGCATTTTTATTAATTTTAAAAGGGTTTTTTTAGGTATCTGGAAAGTTTAAAATAATGAAAAGCTTTTTAGTTCCTAAAAGTAGACATGAAACCCGGGAATTTTTATTTATTGCTATGAGAATCTCTAAATCTAATGTCGCTTAGGGCAAGTTAGTCAAGTTTCCCACAGTTACATGTATATTGAGCTCCACTTCAAAAGCTTCTCTTTGAATGAGATAATCAAGGGGAAAGGAAAAAGAAGTTCATTCCTTGGGAATTAGGATTAGACATTATGAGAAGTATTTCCTGTCTTGGCAATTCAGTGAAAGGGTGATTATTCAGTTCACTGCACTGAACACTTCGTAGTCACTGAACTTTTCTAACTGCAGGTCTTGAAGGCACTAAGCAAGACAGATACTCAGAAAACCTAATGGATGAATGTCCAGGAAAATCTGCCCTGCCCTGGACTGTGAGTCTAATTCTAGTTGACTTCTCCAGGCATCAGTGTAGACAACAAATTGAAGGGAAGTAACAAACACAACCTCTGGTAACACTTCCCCTTGTGACTGGTGGCCAAGTTTCTCAGTGAGACCTCGAGACTCACATTAAAAACTTTAGCTTCTCAGTTGGGCACTGGTGACTCATGCCTGTAATCTCAGCTGAGATCTCAGCTTCCTGAGATCTGAGAAGCTTGGTTCCAAGTCAGCCCAGGAAGATAAATCAGTGAGAATCTTATCTCCAATGAACCAGCATAAGCCAGAATGGAAGTGGTGGCACAAGTGGTAGATGGCCAGCCTTGAGTGAGTGAAAAAAACGAAGTGAGAGTACAAGGCCTGGAGTTCAAGCCCCAGTCCCAATACACACACACACACACACACACACACACACACACACACACACAATCCTTTCACGCTATTAATCATAAAAATTTAAGTTATACAAATAGTAAAGTGTTAGCTGGACCAGTGTGAGCTCCAGGTACAGTCTCCAGCACTTACCAAAAAAATAAAGTTATGTTGAAAAGCACAAATGGGAAATAGGGGTGACATTGGGAAAAAGGGGTGATATGGATCAAGATATATTGTATATAAACTGCTCTGTTGAATGGCAATTCCTTGGTACAACTACTTAAAGATATTTTTAAGGGACAAAGGGAAAAAATAAGCTACAAAATCAGGTGCTAAATATTGTATATTTTAAGTTCAGTAATGCCACTTTGGATGCTTCCTTCTGAGTCTTTTTTAAAAATGTTTTTATTGTTATTACAAAGGTGATATACAAAGGGGTTACTTATGAAAGTCAGGTAATGAGTAAATTTCTTTTTAGATAGTGTTACCTCTTCCCTTGCTTTCTCCCAGTTTTTCCCTTCCACCTCCCCCACAGGTTGTATAGCTCATTTTCAATATAGTGTCCAGTGAGCACAACTGATCCTTCTGAGCCTTTTGAATGAAATTTCATGTTTCCATCTTAGCCAACATGGAACCATGAGAAGACAACCGATTTCCCAATTATCTCTAAGAAAAAGAAGCCACAACCTCTCCCCCCCCCAAAGCTCCATTCCCATTTCACCTCGTGGCCCATAGGAGTTCCCCAGATTGTATGCTGTTCCATCAGGGTCGAAGTGAGGGTGTGCGGTTGCTCCATTCACAGCAATGAATTTGCTCCAGTCCACCTATGGGGTTAAGACCTATGGGGTTAAGTGTCCCACGTGCAAAACTCTATCGATACTCATGACTACAGGGACACATCAACTACAGTAAAAATAACAAGTGAAAACTGCAGTATATGCCCTAATTTCTTTTCTCTGAGAAATCCAAAGTATCTTGCCTAATGAAAGTAAAAAGAAAATGAGACTGAAAAACAAAAACCCAACAAAAAAATATGCCAACCAGAACAACAGCCCCAAAAAAAGAGAAAGAAAGAAAGAAAGAAGGAAGGAAGGAAGGAAAGAGAGAGAGAAAAAAAAGAAAAGAAAAGCCATGAGTAGATTTGGCCAAGATTATAGAGAAGTTCAAAAACAAAAAAGAGCAGCAATTACAATTTTGTTTTATGGATTTTTTGCTATTAAATCACCTTTTTTTTTTTGGGTCCAGTTGTGGGGCCTGAACTCTGGGCCTGGGCGCTGTCCCTCAGTTCTTCAGCTCAAGGCTAGTGCCCTACCACTTGAGCCACAGCGCCACTTCCGGCTTTTTGCTTATGTGGTGCTGAGGAATCGAACTCAGGGCCTCATGCATGCAAGGCAAGCATTCTACCACTGGGCCACCTTCCCAGCCCCTTAAATCACCTTTTGTTCAATTATGTCACAGAATCTTATCAATACTGATGTATTTATTTTATTTTTGTAGTGCCAATACTGGGTCTTCACATCTGGGGTCTGCACTCTCAGCTTTTGCACTCAAAGCTGACATTCTACCAGCTAAGGTACACCTTCACTTCCCAATTAAAATCTTAATTTGGAGGCTGGAGGCATGGCTTGAGTAGTAGAGTACCTGCCTAGCAAGCCTAAGGATTTGAGTTCAAACCCTAGTAATAAAAACATGTGGCTTAGTGGTAGAGTGATTGCTTAGTATGCATGAGGCCTTGGGTTTGATTCTTCAGTACCATATAAACACTACAAATAAATAAAATCAATTTTAAAAAACACCATACATACACACAGAGAGTTTGAATTTTCTTCTGAAATTGTATTTTTCAGGTGAAAATGGGCCTGTCAAAGTGAACAGTACTCCCCTTTTCCTTGGCCTTCAGATATCAAGACTTAAGGAAAACTTTTCAAATTATCTTCAAGGAAAATTAACCGCACATAAACCATTCGAACCAGAACAGACAGCCAAGATAACCTAAATCAGTACATATCTTTGTTTTGGTATGGTTAGTTCTTATTGTTATTATAAAGATGGTATACAAGGGGATTACAATTACATAAGTCAGGCAATGAGTATATTTCTTTTTTTCTTTTTTTGCGGGGGGAGGGGGTCCGGTCGTGGGGCCTAAACTTTGGGCCTGGGCACTGTCCCTCAGCTCTTCAGCTCAAGGCTAGCGCTCTACCCCTTGAGCCACAGTACCACTTCCAGCTTTTTTTCTTTTTGCTTATGTGGTGCTGAGGAATCAAACCCAGGGCCCCATGCATGCAAGGCAAGCGCTCTACCAGTGAACCACCTTCCCAGCCCCAGTACATTTCTTTTTTGGACAATGTCACCTCTTCCCCTCACTCTTTCCCAGTTTTCCCCTCCTATCCCTGCTTTCAAGTTGTATCTTTCATCTTCAACATAGTGTCTGGTGAGTACCAACCACTGCTGCATTTGTTCACCCTCCGTGGTGTAGTTATTAAAGCCCCAATGTCTTGCTTCAGGTATCTACTATTCGAAATAGCATTTTTGAATGGAAAGAAATGTTATGATCTAATTTGAACCAATACCCACCTTCTCTGTGTTGTCCAGAGTTTCGATGTCCACTTTGTTCATAAAATTGGTCTCGGTGCTAATGTAGTAATCGCCCTTGTACTTCACATAGTTGACATTGGTGTTGTCCGTCATGACTGAAACCAAACATCTCAACTATTTTATTACCTGAGAAAAAGCCATTGCAACACCCTCCCTCCCACTCCCCCAAAAAATACTTCTGAAGATTCGTATTCGTGTAGATTGTCATACATCATAATCCTTTAAAGAGTCATTTCTAACGCTGGCAATTCTAGACATGTTAAAGACTGCTTACCTGGAGGTACAAACCTAGACATGAAACGTTCAAAAATATTCCTGCATGGGTCCGGAAGAGCCAGGGTGCCAAATTCTGAGATCACAATTCGATTAGCAGCCATGTTGGCTTTGTATGTGTCGCTCTGTAGAAACTTGCTCCTGTATGTCACACTGCCTTCCTCCATCCTGAACTGGTGAAGCAAAGCCATTCCATCAAACCAGTGATTGTACCTGCAGATAGCAGCAAGGAAACACTGAACAGTGGGGAAAGTGGAAGGCTAACATGAGGGCTGGCACGATGGAGCGCGTTTCAGATAGAGAGATAAGAAGATGGCCTGTTCTTCCAGCACCACCTGATTGGTTAGAGAACTTGAAATTTAAAAAACAAAAAATTTACTAGCATAGTTGTGGGGGGCGGGTATTGTAACACTTCCACACAAGTATAAAACATATCAAAAAAAAAAGTGGGCACCAGTGGCTCACACCTGTCATCCTAGCTACTCAGGAGGCTGAGATCTGAGGATCACGATTCAAAGCCAGCCCGGGAAGGAAAGACCATGAGACTCTTATCTACAATAAACCACTACAAAACCAGAAGTGGTGCTATGGTTCAAGTGGTCGAGTGCTCGCCTTGAGCTGAAGAGCTCAGGGACAGTGCTTAAGCCCAGAGTTCAAGGCCAACAACCGACCAAAAAAAAAAAAAAAAAACTATTCCAGACAACCTTACCCTATCAAAAAGCTCACATTCCACATGGGGCTAAAGAAACACCTTTCCAGTGGTGACTCCTGAGATAATTCTGATCTCTATAACTAAAAGCAAAACAACTAGAGGACATAGGAAAGTTTGGCACTTTCCAAGAGTTACCTTCATATGTTATGCATATTAAAATGCCCGTCTCTTACCTTGCCATGTAATTGTAACCCCTCTATATGGTATTTTCACAATAATAAAAAAAAATGTCCATCTCCTTTCTGTTCTTTTTTCAACTTTATCACAATTATGCTAAAGTAAGCCACATGCTTGACCTTACACAAGTTATTCTGGTCCTTATGATTATACTAGAAATTATGTGCTTAAATAATAAGAATTGAAAAACTGGCAGGAAAACTTGGTGGCCTTGCTTTTTAACTGAGTTTATCATGTGGTCCTTTCTTTCACATGCTTGTCAGACTAAATGCCTCATACTTTCAGTAGGAATAAGCAACTCTAACAGCATTGTCTTCAAAGGCAATGATTGCCTGGTGCTGGTGGCTCACGCTTATAATCCTAGCTACTCAGGCGGCTGAGATCTAGGGATCACCTAGATCAAAGTCTGCCTGGGCAGTAAAGCCTGTGAGACTCTTTAACAATTAACTACCCAAAAAATCCTGAAATGAAGCTGTGGCTCAAATGGTAGAGCACTAGCCTTGAACATAAAAGCTCAGGGACAGCACCCAGCCCCAGGACTGACTGGCACGCACGCGCGCGCGCACACACACACACACACACACACACACACACAGGAAATGGTTCCTACAAACGGGACTAGAAGAGGGATTTGGCCATTCACATTCATAACAACACTATTCACAAAAACCAGAAGATGGAAGAAATTCAAATGTCCATCAATAGTTGAATGAAATAAACCAAATGTTTCACAAAGGTTCAAGCATGCCTCTCCAATATATGCCACTTGGACAGACTGGTTATTTTGCATTGAAACACTTGAAAAATAGCAGCTGCAAGAAGAGCATTGTGACCTCCTAATGGCTTTTTCCAAAAGCAGAAAATAAAAGTCCCATGTGAGAGCATCCTCCCTGTACCAGAAGAAAGACATTATCCCTGGAGATGGGGACAGACATCTGTACAAATGAGCTCTGTTAAATTAACCCTACTTTCAGCCACTTCCCTGTAACCAAGGAAGTACCCTCCTCTATAACATTACCTTGTCACATTTTCACAAGCACTACTCTTTACCTAACATAGTATGCAAGCTTTAGGTCATCATTTTTCTTGTGAGGAACATGTAAAAATTACTAAAGAAAATGTGTGTGCCCTTCTCTTCCTATTAATCTTCCTAACAGGTGAAAGGCTAATTCTTGGGTCCTGCTAATGATTCTCAAGAGATAAAGAACATAAAATGTCAGCCAGCTCCTAAAAGTAATGGTCATTCACACTGTGTAGCAATTGTAAAAGGCTTGTAATAGTGTGATTTTTTTTTAAAGCAAAGCCAAAAAAATTCCACATGACTGCAATTGCCTGAAACAAGTCTAAAGACAAAAAAGTAGAGTGCTTACCTAGCAATCACAAGGCCTGAGTGCAAAGCTCAGTACCATTAAAATAAATAATAAAATAATAGTAAAAATAAAAACATGCCCAATAGGAGAAACTGAAAGAGGCCTCTGTGCAGGGACATTTGAGGTGAGGGAGAGGGTGGTAGGAAGGGAAGCCATGCCCTTCCTTCAGAACTTGTGAAAGTGCTCAGAAGTCACATACAGAGCTCATGATCCCTTCTTCTTTTTGGCATTAAACCCACAGACAGATTCAAGTTTACAATAGTCTGCAGAGCAGAAGCAGTAAGACTTTTTTTTTTCTTTTTGTTAGTCATGGGGCTTGAACTCTGGACCTAGGCACTGTCCCTCAGCTCTTCAGCACAAGGCTAGCGCTCTATCACTTGAGCCACAGCACCACTTCCAGTTTTGTGAGTGGTTTATGGGAGATAAGAGTCTCACAAACTATTCTGCCCAGGCTGGCTTTGAAGGGTGATCCTCTGATCTCAGCCTCCTGGGTAGCTAGGATTATAGGCATGAGCCACCGGAGCCCAGCAACAGTAAGACTTTTGAAAAATAATTCTTTTTTTTTTCTCCTGTAGGTTATGGTTTTCCTATCTGCAACCACAAGGATCAAATGACTGTGTCCACCTCAGAAAGGAAATAGATATGAATGTATGTTCCATAGACTCTGTCCATGTCAGGAAATTTAGGCTTACTCATCCTTCCCAAACTCAAACTTCCCAGGTCCAACTCGAAAGAGATAGCCATGGAGCCATTTAGGAATATGCCCTTGGACTTGAGCAGAGATGGTCTGTAGAGTCTCCTCCACCGTGGTCACCAGTGGTGCAATGCATGGCAGATTCTGCCGCTGTCCCGAGATAGTGTTTTTCACATGAGTATTCCCAGTGTACTTCTTCATTGCTGCAGAAAGCAAGCCGAAAGCACAGAAAAGGTTACCAGGTTCTAGAAACATGGACATTTCCCTCACAGACTGATGGCTTGAATGAAATGTGAACCTGACAACAACTATGAAAAATAAGACATTTTATTCTTAGATTTCCTGGTGCTTTGATTCTCCAGTTTTTGAACCACAACAGTGTGGCTCAAATTCCATTCCTTATAGCACTTATCTGCCAAAGAATTAACTTGAGACTGCAATTATACAACTATGACTATTTTTTATAATTGGCCAATGCTTGTCTTTTTCACAGGAATAATTCTACATTCTAACTATAGATGAGAATTAGCAATTTCACTGTTCTATGTTTTTTTAAAAAGACCCTCATTAAAATTATCATAATTACATTCATCCTAGTACAAGAATGTGAACATGGTGACTTTTGTGCATTTAGCAGGATGTGAAATTTAATTTCTTCCATTTGAATGGTTTATACATGAAAGTACATGCATTTTTCTAGAGGGCATCATCAATTAAACTATACAATATTATGAAATTACCTCAAGTCCAAAAGACACAAGAACTAAAATGTCTAACTATATACAAGGAGCTGAAAATTGACCCTATTGTTTCATTTTTACTGAATATTCACAAGATTAGCTATTGCAGAGGGGTAAGTAAATATATAATTATTTGAGTACACTACAGTCCTTCTGCCTAGCAAGTATAAGTCCCTAAGTTCAACCAAAGTACAACAATAAATAAAATCCTTTATTTCATAAAAATTTTGGAATCAGGTCAGGGCCCTAAGTTCAAATTCCAGCAAAAACCTCCCTTACTAAAAAAAATGTAACAGTGATACCAAAGTTTAGACTCAAAAATGAACAATGATATTATTTCCCTCGTCAGGCTTTTTTCCATTCTTGTAGAACATTATGTTGCAGTGTTATATTTATGATCCAATTTCATTTCAATCTCTCATTCAGTTTGGAGCATATTAAGAGTTTATTAACTTTCCTACAATTTAGCTAAGTCAAGCTATTTCCTGATTTCCCAAATAAAATTCACTTTTTCTCTGACTGCCCTTCCTAAAATCTCTCCCCAAGAAAATTAGAATTAGGAATGAAGCAAATACTTGCAGCTTATATCTCTCATCATAATTAAATACAACTGATACTTCCCAAAGAATAAATAATTCTGTGACTGGCTCTTTTTCTTCCTTATCATTAATATCCCTAAAGCATTACCTTGGACCCTTGCTCTTTAATCTCAGCACTCTCTCCTTGTAATCTCATCTAATCTCAATGCACTGGTTACTTCTTTTTTTTTTTTTTTTTTTTTTGGGTCCGGTCGTGGGGCCTGAACTCTGGGCCTGGGTGCTGTCCCTCAGCTTTTCAGCTCAAGGCTAGCATTCTACCACTTGAGCCACAGGGCCACTTCTGGCTTTTTTCTTTTTGCTTATGTGGTGCTGAGGAATCAAACCCAGGGCCTCAGGCATGCAAGGCAAGAGCTCTACCACTGAGCCACCTTCCCAGCCCTGCACTGGTTACTTCTAAGAGATGACTCTCAATATTTCAAAATAGAATCTTTCATTTTCACCCTTCTAAGTCAATTTTTCTACTAGTTACATCACCTAACTTCAAGATCTCTCAAGGCCTTCTCTGCTGTCTTTTATATTCACTGGGCCACCAGGGGGGATGCTAAAAGAGGCAACATAGAGAAGCCTCTATATATTACTGGGGCTCAAAAAGTATGGGAATGGGTTGTAGCTTGGTGGTAGCACACTTGCCTAGCTTATATAAGGCCCTGGATTCAATCCCAGCACCAAAAAAAAAAAAAAAGAAAGAAAAAAGACAAGAATAAGAAGTCCACAAGTGTGCGTAGGGGAGAGCCCATTCTACTTTTACAAGTTCTACCTTCCTGGGAAGATCCAAAAATTGTTCTACCTGACCTGAACCTGTCCTAACCATGCTAAAGCCTCAATTTCTCTTTCCTGCCACCTCCTTTCTTATGTCCTAATTTAGGGCCTAAATATCCTAATTTAGGATATTTCACTGCCTTATATTTGGGAGGAGAAACTAGATAGGGGATCAAACCACCCTTTACACCAGAGCTTTCTAATCAGTGAGCCACTTGATCCACTAGGCTCTTGAGATTGACCAGAGGCCCCAGCCCAATTTCCCTAAGTAACCCACCAGGACTCCAGATCCCAGCCAATGTAACCCAATACAGTAAAGGATTTACCATATATGCTGCCTGTAATATGTACCCTATGAAACCAATTGGAAAACACTGTGACTGAATTAACTTTCCTAAGTATATATCTGATTGTATCATATGGCCCTCCAGAAAATCTTCACAAATGGCTTGTCATTGTCAACCAGGTACAGTCTAAACTGCTTGGCAGAAAGTGTTGAAGATCTTCTACTGTCTTATCCCAGACTACCTGGCCAGTTCTGGCTCTCATTCATTGCTTTCCACACCAGTCCCACTCTCTTCTCATAATTACATGGTTCTCTACTTAGGATATTTCCCAACTCCTTCATGCATCCAACTCATCTTTCAACATCCCCATAGCAAGAACTGATTCTTCTTAGAACTCACACCACAGCTGCTGATAGCTCTCTTATGGCCCTATCTTATTCTGTTTTATATGATAAAGGTGAATGTACTTTATATTTTCTACTATCAGTACTCCTTGAGTACAAAGTCTAGTTTTTGTCTGCCCTCTTATATTACTAACATATTGCCTTGCATAATGAAAGCACTAAATTGGATTAAATAATTTCAAAATTACAATGCATAGCTGATTTGATAGTTCTATAGCTCTCAATTTCAAAATATAAATATAAATCAAGTAATTTACTAAGAAAGCTACAAAAAAAACCCCACAGATTTCAAGGTAGTCTCCCAGAATGCCAGTAGATAAAAACAATTACATTAGAACAGCTGGAAGTAATTTTCATTTAGAAAAGTCTGACTAAGGGCTGGGAAGGTGACTCAGTGGTAGTGTTTGCCTCACATGCATGAGGCCCTGGCTTCAATTCCTCAGCACCACATAAGCAGAAAAAACCAGAAGTGGCACTGCTGTGGCTCAAGTGGTAGAGCGCTAGCCTTGAGCTAAAGAGCTGACTGACACACAAAAGAAAAGTCTGACTAATGAGTTGTCTTTCCTATTACACATTCAAACAAAAGAATCCTCAAACAGAAAGTGTATAACGGGAAACGCTGTTCTCCCTAACAATAAACAAATGAATCTGCTTCTTCCTCTTTTCACTTCCAGCTAGGCAGAGTTGCTGTTTCTATCTTCTCTACACCGCAAGGAAAGGTTCAGCAGCTGTCAGTAATCTTCGGGAAACAGACACATAAGTCTAAGTACAAACTGGTAGGAAGAGGAAGGGGAAGAAAAAGAAGGGGTAGGGGCCAAGTCCCCTACCTGAGAGCTGGCGCATTACCATAGAAAGAAAACCCACAGTGGTGGTACAAAGACTGCTGACAAAACGGAGACAGATTCAAGGAAACAGTTTTTGAATACAGTTCAGCAGCAGCAGCAGCAGATCCAGTGTTCTCCAAATCCTCAGGCTTCCTGGCAGCTTTAAGCACCGCTGAACAGTAAACATGCACTGAACTTCCTGGGTTCTCCTTGGCTCAGGGGCAGAAGAGGGTGGGGGAGGGAGAAAGGGGCGGGGCTTCAGAACACCAATAAATCTCCGCATCTCATTTCCCAGGCAAGTATCCTAGTAAACCGTTTATCAATTATCTTTAAATATTAAAATGAGACCCCTAGTGGTGGGTGGTGTTCCCCACCCCACCCCCTGACTTTCCTGACTGTCCTGACTCTGTCAAGTCAGAGGGATCCATTTGATGGCTTGCATCATGACACTCCTTGTCTCTGAAAGATGGAGAGTAATACCCAATTTTAGACTGTCAATAAAGGTCTCCATAATCAGGCAGAAGAGGCTTACCTTTTGTCCTCTGCTGTTCCATAATTTCATCCTTCCTCCTTTTCTCTGTTCATTAATTTTACAAATATTTTTCTGGCGATGTAGTATGAATACATAAGATAGGCCCTTTTAAAATGTGTAAGCATATATGATTTTATACTAACAAATATGGCTAGGAACTAATGTATCAAATATTGTGCTACAGAGTAATGCCAGGAAACAATTCAACTCCTGCATTCCCCCAATTTAGATGACACTGCTCTGTGCTTTTGTGAATCCTCATCCCAGTGAAGTGGCTAACATACCTGGATGTGAAAAGAAGCAAACTTTTTCTATGAAAAAAAAAAATTTTTTTTTTAAATCATGGGGCTTGAACTTTTGCTCAAGGCTAACATTCTATCACTTGAGCCACAATCCCATTTTGATAAGACTCTCACAGACCTTTTCTCCCAGGCTGGCTTCAAACCACAATCCTCAGCCTCCTGAGTAGCTAAGATTACAGGCATGAGACACCAATGCCTGGCAAAATATCCTTCTTTCCTTCTCAGAAACCCAACTCAAACATCTTCCTCTGAGCCCCTTGTCAAAGGCTATCAGGTAACTCCCACAACATTGCCCCAGATGCTTTGACACAGACATATTGCATCCTCCTAGCAAAGCTGTGTCTTTGAAGAATGGAGTAATAAAAAGTATCAGAAGTCAGCCTAGTGCCTAGCAGAGAAAGATGCACAAAAATGGTTCGATATCCTATTTTAATGTGTCAATAAAAAATAATTTGCAAACTTGTAAATTCTTACTGAAATGACTCAAGTGGAATATTGGTTATAAGAAAAAGGTAATGACATTCCCAGCAATAGCAAATCACTAGCTCTAGGTTTATTTTTTTTTTCTTTTTGTCAGTCGTGGGGCTTGAACTCTGGGCCGGAGCACTGTCCTTCAGCTCTTCTTCAGCTCAAAGCTAGCACTCTACAACTTGAGCCACAGCACCACTTCTGGTTTTCTGCTTGTGAATTGGAGGTAAGAGTCTCAGGGACTTTCCTGCCTAGGTAGGCTGGCTCTGGACCACAATCCTCAGATCTCAGCCTTCTGAGTAGCTAGGATTACAGGTGTGAGCCACCAGTGCCCAGCTTCTAGGGTTATTATTGTTTAAACGGATGAAACCAAAATCATCAAACTGTGACTTAAAAATTAATTTTCAAGCCAGGCTGTTGCCTATAATCTTCACTACTCAGAAGACTGAGATCTGAGAATCACAGTTCAAAGCCAGCTTGGGCAGAAAAGTTCCTGAGACTCTCATCTCAAATTAACCACCTGAAAACTGGAAGTAGTGCTCAAAGTGGTAGAGTGCTAACTTTGAGCACAAAAGCTCAGGGAGAGCACTCAAGCCCTACTACCAATAAAACAAAATAACAATTTTCAGACACATGGCTCCTCTGGAGAGTAAATATTCTATAAACTAGTAATCAGTTCTTCAGGATGACATTGATCAAAACATATTACACTCCTAAACTGGCATTGGATTAAAACTTCTTTGTACAACAACTTAAACAATTTAAAAAGAAAAAGAAAAAAAACAGTTCTTTAGTGTTACTCAGGCCAAATGATCTAATCAATTTCTACACTTGCAAAGGGAAGAAACATACTGAAGCATGATGAGATCATTAGAATACATTGTGTATTGTGAAATAACCTTTAGGCGTTATTTTCATATTCATAATAAATGATCTCAGACATGGTAGTACATGCTTGTAATCCCAGTATTCAGGGACTTGAGGCAGGAGGATTTTGAATTCCAGGCCAGTCTGGGCTACATAATGAATCTTAGTCTCAAAAAACAATGGAGCTGAGTACCAGTGCCTCATGTCTGTAATCCTAACAACTCAAGAAGCTGAGATCTAAAGATTGTGTTTCCAAGCAAGCCAGGCAGGAGAATCTATGATTCTCTTATCTTTAATTAACCACCAAAAAGCTGGAATGAAGTTGTGGCCCAAAAGACAGAGCACTAGCTTTGAGCAAAAGGGTCAGGGATAGTGCTCAGGCCCTGAGGCTCAAGACCCAGGACCTGTCCCTGCATGTGCACACATGCACATATATACAATAATAATAATAATAGTAATAGTAATAACAATGGTAATGTAGTAGTAAATGCTTAGAAAAAATAATCCAAAAACATTTCTTTTTTTTTTTTGGTCGTTCGTGGGGCTTGAACTCTGAGCTTGGGCACTGTCCCTCAGCTCTTCAGCTCAAGGCAAGTGCTCTACCACTTTAGCTACAGCGCCACTTCCGGTTTTCTGGTGGTTTATTGGAGATAGGAGTCTCACGGTCTCTCTTGCCCGGGCTGGCTTTGAACCGTGATCCTCAGATCTGAGCCTCCTGAGTAGCTAGGATTACAGGCGTGAGCCACCAGCGCCTGGCCCAAAAACATTTCTTAATGATGGTAGGTCAATTGAACCATTCTTCTATATTTAACATGAAAACAAAATGACTCAACACCCAGACTTCTGGCTGCATTTAGTTTTCATAAATCCTACTTGTAATAGTTGTTAACCTCCAGGCTATCCTGCATCCCATTTGTGTGTTCTCCTGCCAACCTAATAATTTTTTGCACTTAACTAATTTTTAAAACAAATATTTCTCATATTTTCTTATATATTTATATACGGTGATATTCATTATTAAAATAAAATCTGATGAGTTTATTTTAAAGTTTATAAGGCAGCAAGGCAAATATGCTATCTTGCTTACGAAGAACAATTCCCTATGGTACTGTTGGCCTATGTGCCCAAATTTGTGATTGCTTATTTTATAGATAGAGACTGAATTTTCTATCTGAGCAAAAATGGGTACTATGATTTTTAAAAATTGGTTAATACAGTTATCTCATTTAGCTACATAGCATATGGATTATTTTGAATAAAATCATAGTAGGACTTTGTATCAAAGGAAGACATTTTTAGTCTGTTGAGTAACACATCCTGTAGACCAAATTCATTTTCAAGTCATCACAGGTTTGAAGTGACTTGCCAAGGTCATCTTGTTTAAGCAGATGTCTTTACCTCTGTATTATTATAATATTCCACATTAAACTGCTGCTAGGACTACTAAGTATTACATACACTGATGTGGATAAGGAGTAAGAAGCCACTTACACAGCCAGGAATGGTGGAGAACACCTGTAATTGACACTCAAGAAACTGACACAAGAATATATTATAAGCTTAAGAACAATCTGAGATACATAGCAAGACCCAGTCTTTTTTTAAAAATCACTCAGAGAAGGTCCTAGTAGTTTTTTTATTTTATTTTCCTACTTTTGCCACAAAGAAAAAATTTGAAACAACATTTGTATTAGTCACACATAATAATCAATAATGAAAATTGTCCAATAATATTAAATACAAATAGTACAGTTATATTTTACTGACTAGATAAAAACAATTTTCATCTAGGCGAAAAAATTTTAAACTATCTCTAATCCTGCTATTTAAACACAAAATTCTAAGAGAAAAAAGACAATATTGATAAATAATGAAATTAAGCTTCTTTTCTATGTTAAAATGAAATTTAAGGGAAACCAAAAAAGCCTATGTGTGATTTAAAATTTTGATAAATGCACAAAATATTTGATAAACCAAAGTAACAGACTGTTCACATTATGTGCAGCTTAAAAGTCCTTTTAAGTCTAGAAAAATATTCAAGGTAGTTCCCCTAAAGATATACATTTTCTTTAACTAGAGCTTTCAGAGCATAAAGGTCATTCTTTCATCACAACCACAGGTTTAAATTCTCAGTGTATTTTAAGTATAATTATCACTCTTCAGCGTGTTTGCAATAACTGTAAACCTCTGTTTCAGGAACTCTTTTTTTTGTATTAGAAAGTTTTCAATAGTGTTAGCTTCTCTGAAGAGTCCATCTATCTCGTCAATGTAAGATGCATCTACTGCTGCTCTTTCACTAACAGGAAAGAAAAAGTTTTATGTTAAACTAGTTATAAAGTCTAAATAGACCCTAGTGATAATGGTTCTTTATTATACCATATTATTATCTATTTTTCTTTAAATGGTTTTCACATGAGTGTCTCATTAATTTACAAATACTCTTCAAGAAAAAAACAACTAGTTCCATAAATAATTTTGGCTACCCTGAACATACTATATGCTATGCATTATAACTTTAAAATTAAATTATATAAATTATTTTCACATCCATACAAATCATTATTCAAACACTTTTTAAAACTACTTTAAAATACATCCTAATCTCAGGTCAGTAAATAGTTAAGTATTTAAGATGTATATTACATGAAGTATACCATCAATTAACAAATCTCACTAAAAATACCTTTCTCAAAAAGGTAGTCACACAAAATGTTATATGTACTATCTAGTTAGAGACAATGATATATTCAGGCTATATATATTCTGGTAATATCAAAACAAAGGACATTTAGTGGAAAACGTGGGGCTACTCCCTAAAGACAATCAACTAAACTATGACATTTGAGATAGAGCCAAGTATGATTACACATACCTGTAAACCTAACTACCTGGGAGGATGATCGTAGTTTTAGGCCAGTTAGGACAAAATGTTAGTGAGTCCCCATCTCAACCAACAAGTTGAACATGGTAGTTCATTCATACAATTCTAGCTACAAAGTCCAGGGCCAACTGGACACCAATGGCTCACATTTGTAATCTGAGCTACTCCAGATAAGATCTAAAGGTTGAGGTTCAGAACCAAACCAGGAAGACAAAACCTCAAGAGTCTTCTCTCCAGTTAACCAGCAAAAAGCTGAAACTGGAGTATGTGGTTTGTGAGCAAAAGCAAGATGTACTGAATTCAAGCCCCAGTGATAGCACACAAAAAAATAAATAATTTTTAAAAATCCAAGATCAGCGCTGGGTAAAAGTGTAAAGCCCTATCCAAAATATAATTAAAATCCAAAGGGGGCTGGGGCCATGGCGCAAATAGAAAAGAACATGCCTTGCAAGCATCAGACCCTGAGTTCAACCCCAATACCATAAAAAATAAAAATAAAAAAGAATTGATAGAATGAAAGTTCTGAAGTTTTAAATTAGGTGATGTTTTGTTTTCTTTTTCTTTTAGGTGCTTGAATTCATGGCTTGGAAGCTGTACCTGAGCTTTTGTAGGTAGGCTGGCACTCTACCACTTGAGCTCTACTTCCAAATTTTTGGTTAATTGGAGATAAAATGTCTCACAGACTTTCCTGTCTGGGCTAGCTTTAAACCACAATCCTCAGATGTCAGCCTCATGGGTAGCTAGGATTACAGTCATGAGCCACTGAAGGCCAGTTAACATGATATGATTTTTAGCCATGGGATTCATTGAACTAAATTTCTCATTACAAGGTTTCCAGAAGAAAACTATTACTAACATAAAGACCCACAGAATACACTGTAAGTACTTGCCTTAAAATCTTTGCATATGTAGACAACATCTGATTAATTTCCTTGCTCATATCTGTTTAAAAAAATAATTGAGTAAGTAATGAAATGTAACAAACCTTCTGTATAACATAATAAATATATGGAAATATAAGCATTTTATACATTACCACTCAAATCTTTCTCTGGAGCTTCATCTTTATAAAATAGTCCAGAACACTCAGAAAAAGATGCATCTGATTTTTCAGGAGAGGACAGCTGTGGCATTTCAGGCTAACAGAAAAAAGTAAATATGTATATATATATATATATATATATATATACATATATGTGTGTGTGTGTGTGTGTGTGTGTGTGTGTGTGTGTGTATGAGTAATAATAAGATGTTTAGGACACATAGACTATTAAGAAAATAAAGCAGCCGGGTGCTGGTGGCTCACATCTGTAATACTAGCTACTCAGGAGGCTCGGATCTGAGGATATTGGTTCAAAGCCAGCCCAGGCAGGAGAGACCATGAGACTCCTATCTCCAATAAACCACCAGAAAACCGGAAGTGGCACTGTAGCTCAAGTGGTAGAGTGCTCGCTTTGAGCTGAAGAGCTGAGGGACAATGCCCAGGCCCAGCCCCACGATCGACACAAAAAAAAAAAAGAAAAGAAAAGAAAGCAAACATGCTAGAAATTATATACCCTAATTATATTTTTCTAATTACTTAAAATTTTATCATCAAGGAAACTTATAGGCCCAAGAAATACTTTGCTCAACATATCCTACTTTGATTTTAAATTAGAATTTGGTTTTTAAATTCAATTTTAAAAATGGTTTTAGTGTCCTTACAAAAAGTGTTTTGTATATTAACTAGTGGATTTTTTCAAAATAATACAGCAACTCCAATATGGACAATAGCCAAGTGCTTGCAAAATTTTGCAAAATAATATAATCTTCAAGGGATTAAATAATGTCCTTCATACAACTGGTGGGGGCAGCAACAAAAAGACTAGATAAAATGTGTTTAAAGTTCAATAACTACTATACCCTAGGTATTTATATCTAGGTATTTATCTTAACAAAATAGTTACCTAAAGTCCTATGTATCATAAAGTCATGGACTTCTCTTACATTTCTAGATCGTAGTCTACCAAAAAGAAAATCTTGCAATCATTTCTTTGAGGTCTATACTTAGTGAAAAAACAACTGGATAGAGTCAACATAGTACCTTCTGAGGTAACCTTAGCTTTGAGAATATGAAAACATTCATTAGTAAAAATTGGAGAAATATGTAAAATAGAATAAAAGATTAAGACTCCAGGGCAAAAAACTTACCTCCAATTCTCTTGGTCTCTTGCAATTTCTAGAATCAGGTTTTACAAGGTGATTTGCCATCATATTTTGGAGGCAGGAACTATAAGGTTTAGAGCAGTGGCAAATTTAAGTACAAACTCCATGCAAAAGCTCTTGTAAATATTTTCCTTTCCCTTTTCTAGTGGTACTATTAATTTAAGCTTTTATCTGTCACTTAAGTTCTCCCTTCTTAATCCTATGGACAGATATTTAGGTGCTAATCTTTCAAAAATTTAATTACTACAAGCCTTCCACTCACAAACCTTCCAGGGCTGGTGGTTCATACCTGTAATCCTAGCTACTCAAGAGGCTGAGATTTGAGGATAGGAGTTCAATGCCAGACCAGATGGGAAAGCCTGTGAGACTCTTTTCTCCAATTAGACACCAAAAAGCCATAAGCAGGCCATTATCGCTCAAGTGGTAAAGTGCTAGTCTTGAGAAAAAGGAGCTGGGACAGCACTCAGGCCCTGAGTATGTTTACCAGTGTAGGTAAACATATTGAGAAAAAAAAACAGGCAAGAAAAATGCAAATTCCATAGTATGGTGTCTAAAGTCCTCCATCATCATTTGGGGGCAACTACACCAATACATACACTTAGCCAAACCAATCTCTTAGGCATTTGTCTTATTTTAGGATTAGCTCAGTTAAGATTCTTCAATCTTCAGAAAATCCCACTGTTAAAATAGACCTCAAAGCTCATTTCATTCACTGTCCCCACCCCACCACCATCACCCCCTTTTTTTTTACAAATAAGAAAACAAAAGCAAGATGGCTGACAAGAGTTTAACAAAACTAGACCAGAAAAAGAAATATGTCCTCACACTTTTGAGATTGTTTCTATGTTGCTACCTTACTTTAATAGCGCATCAAAGAGCTTTCTCATAAATTTTAAAGATATTTTCCTTAAGGAGTCTCTAGTAATAAGTTCAAAGTTAAAGAAAAATGTGTTGGAATGTAAAACTCTATTTGTATTCAAGATAATGATTCGTTGTTTTTTTTAATTATACTGACTTGGATAACTGATGAATCTGACTAGGCCTATCTTATAAACAGGTATATGAATGATAAGAGGAAAAGCAGACTGTACTGAAGGAGTTTTAGCAAACTGAATACATTACTTCTGCATTCCTATTTGTATTTATTTTTTATATGAATGTAAGTACTATCATAGTAATACTCAGAAAATACATTTGCATTTGCTTTGCAAGTTGAAAAACGATTCAGACAAATGATCCTACAGGAAAATTCTTTTCCTTCCCCTCTAATTTTCCCTTTTCCTTCTGCATCTCTTCTCCTTTCCCAAAGTGACAGAATATGTACAATATGTCAAAAGTCTGTGTAAGTAGCTAATTTTGCCTTTGTGAAAAGAAAACTTGTTCTGTCATTGAAAGCCTCAGCATTGGGGCTGGGAATGAGGTTTAGTAGAATGCTTGCTTAGCATGCATGAAGCCCTGGGTTCAATTCCTCAGTACCACATAAACAGAGAAAGCCAGAAATGGTGCTGTGGCTCAAGTGGTTGAGTGCTAGCCTTCAGCAAAAGCAGCTCATGGACAGCACCCAGGCCCAGAGTTCAAGACCCAAGACTGGCAAAAAAAAAGAAAAAGAAAAAGAAAAGCTTCAACCTAATCCGGGTGTGATCCTCAAGCCTGTGGAAATATCTGCCACAACCTTGGGCTATGCAATCCTAGGCTGTTGGTAACAAGACTATTGCCAAAACTTTTTTTTTTTTTGGCTTTAAGCAACAGTCTTTTTCTTCCTAGTGCCATTCCGACTCCTCAGGGTCCTACTTCTGGCCTGTTCTTAATCTACAGGTCCTACGTCCAGTCAGCTCCGGCTCCTGGGGCACTACATCAGTCAGCTCCGGCTCCCCGGGCGCTGTGTCAGTCAGCTCTGGCTCTATCAGCACTATCAGTCAGCCCCGGCTCCCCGGGCGCTCTATCAGTCAGCTCCTGCTCCCCGGGCGCTCTATCAGCACTATCAGTCAGCTCCGGCTCCCCGGGCGCTCTATCAGCGCTATCAGTCAGCTCCGGCTCCCCTGGGCGCTCTATCGGGCGCTCTGTCAGTCAGCTCCGGCTCCCCGGGCGCTGTGTCAGTCAGCTCCGGCTCCCCGGGCGCTGTGTCAGTCAGCTCTGGCTCCCCAGGCGCTCTATCAGCGCTATCAGTCAGCTCCGGCTCCCCTGGGCGCTCTATCGGGTGCTCCGTCAGCCTGCTCGGGCTCCCCTGGGCGCTCTATCGGGCGCTCTGTCAGTCAGCTCCGGCTCCCCGGGCGCTCTATCGGGCGCTCCATCAGCCTGCTCCGGCTCCCTGGGCGCTCTATCAGTCAGCTCCGGCTCCCCGGGCGCTCTATCGGGCGCTCCGTCAGTCAGCTCCGGCTCCCCGGGCGCTCTACCGGGCGCTCCGTCAGTCAGCTCCGGCTCCCCGGGCGTTCTATCAGCTCTATCAGTCAGCTCCGGCTCCCCGGGCGCTCTATCAGCGCTATCAGTCAGCTCCGGCTCCCCAGGCGCTCTATCGGGCGCTCCGTCAGCCTGCTCCGGCTCCCCGGGCGCTCTATCAGCTCTATCAGTCGGCTCCGGCTACCCGGGCGCTCTATCAGCTCCGTCAGTCAGCTCCGGCTCCCCGGGTGCTCTATCGGGCGCTCTGTCAGTCAGCTCCGGCTCCCCGGGCGCTCTATCGGGCGCTGTGTCAGTCAGCTCCGGCTCCCCGGGCGCTCTATCAGCTCCGTCAGTCAGCTCCGGCTCCCCGGGCGC